ATTGTGTGTGGAGTGCCTCAGGGTTCTGTTTTGGGACCTAAATTATTTATATTATACATTAATGATATATGCAAGGTTTCTGATTTAGTGAAAGTGGTTTTGTTTGCTGATGACACTACCATTTGGGCATCGGGTGAAAACCTACAGCAACTTTTTGGATGGGTTTCACAGGAACTTGAGAAGATAAAGAAATGGTGTGACAGTAATATAGTATCTCTGAATTTGGATAAAACTAAATTTATGGTATTTGGGAATTGTAGACTAGATAATGAACTTCAATTGAAAATTGGGGGAGCTAATATCGAACGAGTATATGAAATTAAATTTCTAGGTGTCATAGTTGATGACCAGTTCTCCTGGAAATCTCATATCAGATATGTTCAGCATAAAATAGCAAAAAACATATCGATATTGGTGAGGGTTAGACATATTTTGGACAGAAAAGCACTACGTATTTTGTACTTTTCATTGATTTTACCATACTTAGAGTATGGCGTTGAAAACTGGGGAAATACATATAAAAGCTCACTTCAACCATTGTATATATTACAAAAAAGAGTGATAAGAATTGTGCATAAGATGGGGTATAGGGATCACACCAATGTAGCTTTCATACAGTCTAAATTGTTAAAATTTTTTGATTTAGTGGGATATAAGACTGCTGTGTTTATGTATAAAGCCAGGAACAATTTATTACCTGGTGGAATTCAAAAACTATTTAATGAAAGGGAAGGGGGATACAATTTAAGGGGTCAGTTAAATTATAAAATTCATGCTATACGTACAACTAAAAAAAGATTCTGTATTTCCATAAGTGGGGTAAAACTATGGAATAATTTAAGTGTGGACATAAAAAACAGTAAGAAAATTGATGAGTTTAAACACAAATATAAAGGTATGTGTCAATCAAGATATGGGCAAGAACAGGCTTAACGATTAATCAGGTGTAACATTGTGAGTGTGGTGTTTTAGTACATCACTAGCATGGTGCAGAACAAAATTATCTATGTAGTAATACTGCTTGCAAACCAATGATGATAAGATGATGTTAGGGGGTAGGACTAGATAAGTCTAACTTCTTCCTACTCCGTTCAAGCATGTACTAGGTATAAGCAAATTGATAATATACTTGTGGAATTATGTGTGTTGACATATTGACTGTTGTTACATGTTTGAAAGAATAAATCAAATCAAATCAAATCAAGGTGCAAAATGCTGATCCTGACAGTGAAGCTATTTCATTTGTTTCTTCAGTACAGTATTTGCTTGTAACAACTAAAGCATGGTTGTAAATACAGTATATACTTGAATAAGGCTGGAAAAAATACTTTGGTGCTGGTTGAAAACTAAAAAAATGATTTCCTCTTAACCAAAGTGCTTTGGTTGTATAAACCTAACCACACAAAGGGCTGGTTGCGAATCACTCAGTCTCCATTGTCACAGTCCTGCACTTTGAGCCACACTAACAACACTACAACTAGTGTGCGGTATGTACTATAAATGTAGTGCTTTCTACATTAGAGAGACGAGGATGGTTTTAACTACTGAAGAGCAGTAAAGAAGGCAACTTGTTCATTTACCAGACTGAAAATGTGCAGGAGGTCTGCTCCAATTACTCAGAAACATACATACATAAAAAATAACAAGGGCAGTATGTTTTCATTTAACTAATATACTGTATTATAAATGTAAGCAGAAATTACCAACTAAAAATGACATTATATATTAAAATCATTTTACAGGATCCACTTGAACTTCCCTGACAGCAACCAAGCTGTCTGATTAGGAAAAGAGAGCAGGACAACACTGACACATTAGCAACATTAGCACACATTAGTAAAAAGTCTGTTGACCTCAAAGTCAGTGAACATTATTAAGGATAATTTGCCCTGATATGTCTACAAGACCATACAAAACTTTGATAAATATTCATTTAAAATGAAAAATCATGTGTACTAAAGCCATCAGTACACATAAAAGAAATTCCCCACAAAACCAAATTCCATAGGGTTGTTGTTGAGTTGTGTTTTGGGTCAATGGCTTCCTCACTCCACTTATCTATTAATGTGTTCACCACGGAGCGCGACTTCATCCACAGAGGGAACCTCAAGCCTCTCGCTCACTTTCAAAAGGCTTAAGTCGGTCATTAAGAAAGTCATCACGCATTCCCTTGAAGCAAACCTCTCAAAACAAAATTCAAATGACACTAAGCACAGATTACACACTTGTCTAAAAATGCTTTTACATTAGTGAGCTTGTTAAGGAAGGCTAGGAAACAGGAAAGGAATGAAAAGAAAGAAGGAAGCCGGGTTAAGATAAAGTGAATATGTTTTTGAAAAGTACAACATTTTAAAATTGACCTGAATCATGTGCAGGGGGGAACTGAACCATGATTCTGTGCATGTGTGGCTTCCATTCAGCGCTATCTTTAAGGGCCTGCCAATCTTAATACAGCTGAAATTCACTTTTAACTGACATCTGCTTCAAAGTCAGTGAGTTGAGACTATAAATGCTAAGATTCCCCTGGTAATGTGGGAACTAAAACATGAAACTACAAGGAGAATCCTCTTAGCACGACCAGTGGACTGTGTAGGAAGAAAGGGGGATTTACACCCTCTCTTTAAATGACTGCCTTTTAAAAACACTGTATATTCGAAAGGGAGGACAGGGAGAAATATTGTGAAAGCACTTCTTTCCACTGAAGCATTATGCACAATGTAGAGAGCAGTCTCTCTATGGTCCTCTACAGCTTCAGGGAATTCAACCTTTTGTTGAACTCTCACAACTTTTCTACTGTGTACTGAAATTTCTACTACTGTAGGCACGCAATGCATTATTTGCAATAACAGACAGTGATAAATGTCAGTCATAAATAACGAGAACATACTGCGCAATGCATTATTTGCAATAACAGACAATGATAAGTGTCAGTCATAAATAACGAGAACATATTCATGGACGACTTTGCACACATTCACGCCACACCATCCTGAAGAGGTGAAAACTCTCCTCATAGACCAACAATAGATGTCACAGGAATAAATACAAAATGTAGGCTACAACTGTATTGTGCAAGCAAAGACCTTTGATTTAAAAATCATCTTTACATATTCCAGAATGGGTTTTTCATCTGGTCCATTTAGCAAGGGCTTAAATAAAGCCAAACATTGCCTTTCAAGTGGTCAACACCTTGGCATACAATGTATCACTAAAAACAGTGTTATGCTGTTACAAAACATGCTTTTCCACCATGGTGGTCTTCTGATAGTAAAAATGAGCACTGCCTTTGCCACAAGCGTGGGAAAGGCAGTTAACTGAAGAAGGGGAGGCCTGAGACTGTCTGCTACAGCGCTGGCTGCTCATGCTGTACCTTCTGTGATCTGGCCCCAGCTGTGGCTTAGCAAAGAGAGGATTGCCATTCCTGTCCCCAGCCATCTGACGAGCCGCCACCACCCCCGTCGCATCTTCTGTCAAGCTTTATTGCCTGCCCACCTGGACAAAAAAAGAGGGGGAGAGGATTTTTCATTCATGTTTGAGTAAGCCCTCTTGGCCCTCACATGGACAGCTGTGACCAACACAAATCTACTTAAATTTTCAGTAGGTTAGTAATTTTCAAACAACAAACTAATCTTGCAATCCATTTTACGGTAAATGGCATAATCCTCTGGATTATATGAATCAATCTGAATGTATGCAGTTACTTCTGGATTTTTCTAAAATCAATGAGGAATGCAGCAAACACTGCAAATGTAAATAACATGATGGTCATTGTTTAATTTACATCAGCTCATGGGCCCTTCTGGACTTTGAGGCTTCAGAGCAAGCAGCACTCATTTTACTCCTCCATCACATGTTTGGTGTTAACATATGCATCTGTTAGCAAGTTTGACTGGGTTGTGCTTAATAAGGACTGAAATGAAAGCAGTGTACTTAACTTGGTGGAAATATCCATAAATACAACCTTGCTTTAAAAATAATTACAGAATAATGAAAACATGCTGCAAGTGATGTTTGAGAGGCTTCTCTGAAAATTTGATACATTTCTCTACCGTTAACTTTTATGACTACTGGAATCCATTCTGGCTACAAATGTAGCTGAGCCCAGTCTTCATTTTCATTGAAAGAGCAAAACTACACACGTTTTCAAGTACTTACTATATACCAGTATACAAGGGGTGAGTGTTTTATACACAAGTAGAAAGTTTTCCAGGTGGAATTTTATAGCATGACTTTGCACAACATGTATAATGGCTACGTTGGTCTACAATGAAAAGTGTACTACTCTCACAATAACACCTCGACAACTGTGACACTGCAACTTTTTTCTCGTTCGAAAGTTGAAATTGGAAGTACTGTATGGCTATGTTTAGCCATACAGGACTCGGTTAAAACCACTCCCGCCACCTAGTGGTTTGAACATTACAAAGTTCCAAACCGTACGTCTTCAACTGACACTACATGTTAGTATTCACAATTGGTGACGGTAATGTGCTATTTCCTTGTTTCACAACTGCCATAAAATACCAAGAAGACGACCATGAAGAAGGACACTTGGCTGCGAGCAAACAAATGTGCCATGTCACAACTGTATAGCCATCATTATGACACCGTTTCATGCCATGGACCAACATATGGTAGGTATTATACATTTCACTGTGAGACCAGGCTGTGCACATATAGACAAATCTATTCGGGTTGTAGTCGAAAGTACAAGCAAAGTACCATGTCCAGGTTATATTCCGGACCTTTTTGTGCACACACAAATCCATAGTACACACTCTGGTCTGAGCTAGAGGAAGGCAAGATGTCACTACGTGGAGTCAAGATTTTTTTTTTTTTTTTTTTGTCAGCTTCTATCTTTGAGCTATTCCATACCATAACTATTCCAAGGCTTATTCTCAGCTTTCAAAGCAAATGCCAAGGGGGTGGGAAGGAACTCGCAAGCACCAATCCTATCATATCAAAGTGTCTAATTTATGCTATCAGCAATTCTTCATCTGTGATTTTCCTCGCCCGTTAACTTTTTGCCACTCGCACACGTTGTGCAGTTTGTATCTACTTCGGAATGTGTACAGATACTTGCCCAAACAAATTTTAACACCACTCAATCCGACACACTCAAAGAAGAGGCATCTTGCATGAACACACTGTGGACAGCAGGAGACAGCTGTGCTCTCTTCTTTTACAGTGCAACAAGAGTGATTTCCAACTGGCTTCCCATTCTCTCGTTGCCTTGTCATCTATCCACTCCCAGTGGTGTTCCCTTTTGAAGCAGATTTGATTTCCCACATTTTTATATCTATCTTCCTTAAGAGGGCTGAGGAAGATTGCTTTGATACATTTCACATGAGAAAACCCAGACCTGCACAACCAGCCACCCTGAAGAGAGAAGTAATTTCTTTCCACAGCTCTCTCCAAATCTCCTTTTAGTTGACATGGGAATGCTGTGTCTCATTTACATAGGCTAACAACAGTGTTCCTTCAAACTTAATGAACAGGGGAAACTGAAGAGATTGCTGACCTGGTGCTGAAAAAAGGCTCTTTTCCTAAAGAAACCTTCTCATAGTGGCCCATGAGTCACATCATGAATAGATATCTGCATTTTCAGAAACAAGGCTTTGATGAAACTAAGGGCAACAGTTTCAATTTCACTGAGCTCTATGTTAATGGATATCATTTGCTGCAGTCCAACCACAGCTCCCTCCAAGTATTGTGATGTGATTCTGCTGAATGATAAATGCTTTCCTATACAGTATGTTTACACAATAGCACTGCGATTATATCACTGTAAAGGGGGAAATTAAGCAAGCTTATAATACAGGGCATGGACAAGAAAGAGCACATGTGTTTAAGGTAGGGCAGGGAGAGGTGAATGAAGCAGTCACAGTTAGGGATTACCCAGAGTGAAGATGCAGCTCCTCATTCCGGAAAATGCAGGGGCTTTGCGCTCCTTGAATGAGAAAAAAAAAGCTTGTCTATTTCTTTCTCTGTGTTCCTTCGATCACCTCTCATCTGGAATCAAGTTCTTTTTCCACCTGCTCCTGTTCATGTGCTTTCATGTTGACAGACTGTCAGAGACATCTCGATAACAGAAATCACAACTCTGTTAACTCTTTAAGGGGAAACATGTCACCAACAGCAGACAACATGATGGCATTAATAATTTACTGCTCCTAGCAAGCAAAAATGACTGAAAGATAAACTTCAACATTCAGACTCTTCAACATTCAGCCTTTTAATGCACAGCACTTTATGTGTAGGAGATTGACCAAACTGGGGGGAAAAAAAAGATCTTTAAAAGCTTTTAACCATTTAGGAATAAATTTGTTTTCTAAGAAATGTTCTTTAAAATTGACAAATGGCTGTACAATTTTTTATTAAAAATTTTGGAACAGAAAGGAAAGAAGTTACCAAAAAAAAAAAACACTCAAAAGTGAGAACTCTAATCCTTCAATTCACAAGTGAAAAGCCAGTGAAAGGAAATGTTTGTTCAGGTGTTGTTGAGATGCGTTTACTGTACCTGTGCGTCATCGCACCTGAGGATGCAATTTGAAAAGCAAAGCACCGTGACTCATAGGGTTTCATACCTGTTTCCCAGTAATAGTGGTGCCTTGAGTCCGAGGTGAAAAGCCAGGCACTGACTCATCATGATGAAGGAGCAAAATTATATTTATGCCTTTGAAACATCTGATTTTCTTTTGGCTGGTTTCTAATTTTAAAACGTTAATGTCAAATTGTTATTCCTGTTGTACAGATGTTGGACCTTTTGAATTCATATTAACAAAAAGTAATTTAAACAGTTTTTGCAGGAAAAAAAAACTTGCATACAGGGGTAAGGTAAATACTAGTGAACAAAACAGTCAGCAAAAGCTGCAGCAAAATATTCCTCTCAAGTGTTGAGGTTATCATAAAGTGCAGTGCTGCTTTACGTCCCTGAATTTCTTTAGCCTCTTATGTCAGAATCCACCTATTCACTTCTACAAAATAACTGACACTGCCACAGAGAGAATGTGGATCTGAGATGGTGAGCTTTTGTTCTCCAGCTCTTATGTGGAAGTGAGGCTGCTGCTTCGCTTTAATAGTTGACAATGGAGGATTTTTGAGTGGGTCAGTCCAACATCATAGGTCTGTTAAATATGTAACAGCATGGTCAACCACTGACACAGAACAAAATGAAATCAAAGCAGGAAAGCAAAGAGTCACTGACGTAACCTGATGTGTCACTCCAACGTTCTTTTAACTACACATTTCACTACAGTCTGAAAGAGTAGCGTGGACTATATGGTATAGTGTAATCATTATCACTGTATTATCAAGGGCATTTTCCAGTGGGTATACTGTAGATGCCAAAATAAGTGTGTTCCACTCCTATCCATTACATGAGAAACTCTTCACAAGTCAAATTAAAACATACAGTACTTCCTCTTTTTGGTAGTTTTTACTCAGTTCACTCAAAATCATTGCTATGGGTATCAGAGGTTCATAGAAGAACAATAAAAATCATATCACAATATAATTCCGCAAAAATTTGAATTCTTACATTGAATTACATCTTAAATACTGAAAATGACAAAGGCATTATTCCACTGACATTTAATCTAACAATTCTGATAACTGCTTAGTCAATTTATAAATTAAAAAATAAAAGTGCTTCATAATGAAATCAACTAATTGCAGGACAGTTGTCAAGATCACAGTAAGGATCGTGTATAGGTTTACTGTAAAAAGTGTTGGCTTTCAATCCACCCTACAGATGGATATATGTATCATATGTTTAAAAAAAATTTTGGATTAACTTTAGTTTCTCAAATAACTCTTTACTTTGTATAGCATGGTCTATAATTCTTTACTTCTCTATACTTTGTGGAGCATTTTACACTGATGGCTCTGGAAAACAACTGAAGCTATAGCCCTCAGGTTGCGGCTGCCAGCCAACACATTGGCAGTTAATATTGCAGCGTGATACGTGCGTCTCAAAAACGCAACTGAGTCCGCTCAAATGCAGGACTGCAGTTCTAAATAAGGACTGAATTTGGGCCGGCTTTATTGTGACTGATACTGATCTTGTAAAATACACCTGGACAGGCGCCGATACTGATACTTGGTATCGGATTAAGACATCTCTAATTCATAGTGAAGGTACTATAAACTTGTCAAGGTAATAAAAAGCAGAGCTGAGCATTTAGCCACAAAGTGCCTCATCTGCTAATTTAGAAAGTATTTCTCACAAAATCTGATGTCCTCTTTACTCTCCTTTTGTATCAGCCTCCTCCTTTTAGTGCAGGTAATGAAAACTGTGGACTCATTCATTTGACAGCACCAGATTACAGTACATCTTTAGTGGCTCCTCCCTGTCCCCATTTACAGCACAGAGCCATGTAATTCAATTGACAAAAAGAAAAACACAGCACAATAAATATTGCAGATATCTGAGTCTAAAAAATGGGAGATGCCAGCAGCATGCGTTTATGCCTAGTAATACTGAAATTGCT